GGTCGCAAAAGTCTCTCCCGCGTCTCCTGGGTCCACTGGGGGTTCCCCCCAGTGGACCAGGTAGACGCGGAGTGGCTTTGCTCCCCGCGGCTTTGCTCCGCGTCTCTCTGGTCTGCTGGGGGGGCAATGGACCGGGGGGAGGCGGAGGGTCAGCAGACCAGGCAGACGCGGAGAAAAGGTAGGAGGTAGGGGTGGGTTCCAGGAGGCTGGAGCAGGTTGCAGGAGCAGGTCTCAGGAGGTAGGAGCAAGTCTCAGGAGGCAGGATCAGAACCCAGGAGCAGGGGGCAGGAGCAGGTCCTCCTGCAGCATCAAGCAGGACACGGAGGTGTCTTGGCTTCACAGACCTGGCTAGGATTTGGAGACACTTGCAATCACAGCTGACAAAGCCCCCACCAACTGGTCCTTATAATGGATTTTTGCCCCACACTGGAATAAAAAAATGTTAAAATAGCCCAGGGAGATGGCTGTGACTAGGAGCCAATCAGGAGAGGGCTTGTGGAAGCCAATCAGAGCCTAGCAGGCTGTATAAAAAGATGGCTGGCCAGAAGGCACCCATGCTCTCCAGAGCTGAAGCAAGAGAGGGACCTAACTGTAAAAAAAAAACCCACACACAAGTGGAGGCTTTTACGCTCCTGAGCGGTTTCTGAGGTGCCTAGAAATAAGGCTGTTGATTGCAGAGTCTTGGTATCAGAAGCCCTAAAAAGGGCTGGATCCAATCGGGTCCCACGGAGCAAAGGATTCGATTCCACGGCGGTTGCTTAATCAGGCGATCTTCAAACAGGAACCTGGTCCGGATACTACACTCGAGCTCACCTCATCTCACGGCGCACACAGACGTACTCTCCCCCTCCCAAGACGTCCCCCAGCGCGGGGGAATAGAAATTTTCTAAGTCCCGCCCGCTCACTCACCGCCGCCGCCCTGTCCTCGCTCATGGCGACCGCACCGAGACCCACCGACTCACCCACCCCGCGCACCTCCTCCGGCCTTCCCTCCCTCGCAGCAGGGAGGCCCGGGTGGTGGTGGGGTGCTGGGGGCCCTCTGGGCAGCGCCCCACTCGCCTCCCTCCCTCCCTCCCGCCTTCCTTCCTCCCTTCCTGGCAGCCTCCACCAGCCCCCGGGCTCATCTGTATGCGGGCTCCGCCCCCTCTCCCCGCAGTCTTTCTGCCTCTGCCTAAGAGCCTCCGGAAAAGGGCGCTTTTTCCGGAGGATCGGGGCCAGTGTAGACGCTCTTTTCCGGCTTTTTTAAAAGCCGGAAAAAAGCGGCGGACATTTTTATTTAAATGCCGCGGGGGATATTTAAATCCCCCGCGGATTTCCCTACTACGATAGGTGAAATTAACATGCCCCTTCCGGAAAAGGGGCCAGTGTAGACGTAGCCATGGGTTTGACCCGAGTTGTTGCGGTTTCTGTAGCGTCTGGCAAGTTTTTCAAGAAACTTGGAGGGGCAGCAGACCGGGGAGGAGCGGGTGGCCAGCAGACCAGGCAGACGCGGAGCAAAGGTAGGAGGTAGGGGCGGGTCCCAGGAGGCAGGAGCAGGTCCAGAGCAGGTTGCAGGAGCAGGTCCAGAGCAGGTTTCAGGAGGTAGGAGCAAGTCTCAGGAGGCAGGAGCAGGACCCAGGAGCAGGTCCAGAGCAGGGTCCAGGTCCAGGTCCAGATCCAGATCCAGCGGAGCAGATCCACAGCCGATAGCAGAGGATCCAATTTAGCAAAAGGAGAGAGCAGCTGTTGCTTTAAGGCAGGAGCAGGACCCAGGAGCAGGACCCAGGAGGAGACGTGGAGCAAAGCCACGGCGAGAGAAGGAGGAATAAGGGATCTTCCGGAAAAGGGCTTATTTTCCGGAATATCGCGTCTACACTGGCGCTTTTCTCTGGCAAAAACCCCGAGCCGGAAAAAAGCGGCAGCCATGTAAATGCAAATGCCGCGGGGGATATTTAAATCCCCCACGGATATGCAAATCCGAAGTGTCTCATTAGTATCCCTTTTCCGGAAAGGGATGCCAATGTAGACATAGCCCTTGTGTTTTGTGAAGGCTCACAAACACCATTATGAGAAACAAAGAATGTTAAAAAGGAAATATAGCCTTGGGGCTATAAACACAGGACTGGGAATCAGCATTTTTTTCAGAATTCCTGTTCAACTTTGGTCAAGTCATTTAATTCTTTGCTTTTTTTTCCCTATGTGAAACAATTACTACCTACCTGTCACAAGGTTATTTTTGGTAAATTACAGAAGTACAAAATAATATTCTTTACAAACTTAAATTGATAATTGAGCTATGTCTTTATGGCTAATAGCATTTTTCAATGAAAATTTATAAAGACAACTATAGATGCATAGATTATTTTTAATTTACATACTACAGCGAGTTAGAATAGATGGATAATATTACTCTAGAAACCTCAAATTTTCTAGCATATGAAAAAAAAACCTTACACTTAAAATCTTCTGCTCATTATAAGTATGTTGATGTAACCAAAATCCTCTAGTACATAAATATTTATACATCTTTAACAGTAGAGTATATAGTGTTTTGCCAGTTCTAAAACAATTAACACCTTAATTTTTTTTTTAAATCTAGTTCTCAGCAGTTGAGTACAGTATTTTGGGGCATACCATACATGCAAGTATTTGAAAAGATGTTTTGATTTTGTCCAGATTTAGAAATGAATTAGTAGGTTAACAGCTAAACAGTAGTTATTGCACATTTCTTAAAATGCAATGCTTAAATATACATATGATTCCTTATACTTAAATTTATAATTCTATTTAAAAAGTGTGCATATACACTTATTTGCATGAATACAGAACTACCATTACCTTTTAAGAATCACATTCAAAGCAGAAGTTGTATCCCACAAATACTTTATGTGTGTATATTTCCAATGTGGACTGGTATTACTATATTTGCCCATTTATAAATAACAGGAATAAACAACCCAATTGATCCAATTATCGAAGCCAGAAGAAAAGTCCATAAAAACATTCGATCAAGCACCTGAGCTATAAATTTCCAGTCTTCAACGATCTAAAACACAAAAACAAAACAAAAAGAATTGCTCAATACTCTAGAACATTTACAAGGCCAAATCCTACATTTCTGATTTAAGCAGAAGTTCTATTGATATTGAGATGTCAATGGGACTTCTGCCTGAATAAAGACTGAAGTAATTAGCCCATAATATATATTTTTGTGATTATGCCAGTTCCATAAACATTCAAGATGACTTTTCTATTGTTGCACTTTGTTAGAGCAAGGGTGTTAAATTCATTTTGTGAAGACGGTAGAATACTTTAGTTACAGCCAATCAGGGCTTAACCTGCAAAGTGCTGAACACTTTCAATTTTCTGCAAAATGAAGGTATTCAGTACCTCATAGGATTGGATTCTTTGGGAAATATGCTAACTTCAGTTCCCAAAGATCAGCCAGAGGCTTGTACAAAGATTTATAGTAGAATACAACTCTTCCATAGTAGCTAAATAGACATGTAAGTAAAGTTATTTTTGAGTATCACATTAGGGAAAAAATGTGCAAGGCATTTTTCAGATTACCATATCACTACCATTTTTAATACGATTATTTGTATATGTAGTCAGTTTTGCACACACAACTGCTGTAGTGGTACATGGAAATTCAGCACAATGACATTTCATTAAAATTACATGTGGCAATTAATGTCTATTAGACCTACAAGCTCTGAAAAAAGTATGATTATATACATAATATATTTAGAGATTTGTGCCTCTCTAAATTTGTGTGTCTGCGAGTCTGGTCATCTGAAGAAGTGGGCTGTGCCCATGAAAGCTCATGATACCATCTACATGTTTTGTTAGTCTTTACCAGAGTATTTGCTGTTTTTAAAGTTTATCCTGTACAGACTAACTCAGCTACCCCTTGAAGCTTTCTTCTTAAACAGTAATCCGAACTACCTACTCCATGCCGTGTGTAGCCGCGGGCACGGAGTCCAAACTAGCGGGGCTTTAAAAATGGCGGCACCCGGCAAGATGCAAATGAAGCCCGGAAAATTCAAATCCCGGGCTTCATTTGCAACTTTGGTTGCCTACATTAACCACCCTAGTTTGAACTAGGGTGGTAGCACAGACATACCCTAAGGTGCCACAGGACTCCTCGCCGCTTTTGCAGATTCAGACTAACACGGCTACGCCTCTGATACTTGATACTTGGAAGCGCGGCCCTTGGTGCCAAAGTGAGTTTGCTTCCTCTTCTGCGTTGGGCTCCCTCCCTTGCTCCCAGGCCCAGCTCAGAGTCGAGTCTTCTCTTTGATCCCTCATGAAGTCTCCCCCAGCACCCAGCTACTCTATCCCACTCTCGTCAGGAGGTCTACCTGGGGGCTCCAGCCGGTGGGGTGTGCCCGTTTCCAAGAAGGATCCTCCTTCCTGTTCCATGCTGTTTCCTTGCACCACCAAACCCCCACTTTGCAGATGCCAGCCTGTTTCTTGCGGTTTCTGCTGGCTCCACTCAGGGAGCAGCTGGTGGAAGCCTGGCCAGTCTCAGCCCAGGATCTCCGGGTAGGTCAACCTCTAGGCCAGTCCCACATGACAAACCCCTTCCTCCTGTTTGTCGGCTAGCCATACCCAGGCCGTCGGGTAAGATTGTATATCCCTGTGTACACACTGCAACCGGATAGGGCCTCCCACCAGCTTTGGGGTCGTTACCAGTTCTGCTCAGACCAAAGTCTGGCTGCAGCCGGAGTCCGCTAAGGCCGTTACTGGGATCCCTTCCACTGCTATGCTGGTTATTACTTTTGTCCCATCCCTTGGTCTTGTTCTAGAGCTCACCGTTAACATCTGCCCGTAGCTACAGTCCATGAAAGGATAGTCCCGGCAGAAATGTCCTTCCTGACCACACTTGTAGCACTGCAGCGTCTTCCTGGCTGGGGTCTTGGGGTCGGTGGTTTCTTCAGCCCCTTTCTCCTCGGCCCCCTCAGCTGCCAGGTAATCCTCCATGAGGCCCACTGCATTGTTAAGGATGGTGCCCTCGGCCCCACTTCTGCCCTCCAGCTAGAAGGATCTGAAGGAATTGCTCTAAAACTATTGTCTCGGCCATTTGAACCCCTGTTCATCTCTCTGGCTCCATCCAGCACCATCCTGATTCAGGGAGCCTTTGTGACAACACCCACAGTCTTGCTCCAAGTGAATAGCGTTTTTTACGGAAGTGTTGTCGATATGTGTCTGGCGTCACGCCGGTCTGGTCCAAGATGGCCTACTTTACCTCATGATAGTTTAGGGCATCTTGGGCCGCCAGACTGTGGTACGCCAATTGCGCTGGCCCCGCTAGGTAAGGGGCTAGAAGCATGGCCCAGTGCTCATTTCAGATTCACTGAAATCTGCAAACACTGTGTTTACTACGTGTCACAATTGTCCCGCACCCGCCTCTCCCGAGTGATCAGCCCTTCTCGCCATCTAAGTCATCAGATAGTGCTGAGAGAGTGGTAGGGGGACCCTAGTCCGCCCTCACAACTGGGTCCTGACCCAGGGCCCTAAGGGGGGAGAGCACTCCTGCTTGCTCCCCTATGGTCAACGGGGCCGCCACCCGTAACACGCCCACCCACGGGTAGTCTGCCCACCCTGCCTTGGGTCACTTCCTACCCGCCTTCTGTTCACTTGGGTTGCGGGTGGGGAAAATGGGGTCCTTCCCCCAATCCCTTCAGTCAGTCTCCACCCTACTTTTTGTCCCGCCATGCAGAGTCGTCCCCTCCACCCCCCTTTTTCCCAGCTGCCACCTCACTTTTAAACCAGGTGCCACAATGCCACGTGACGCGGCCAGCCTGTCTGGCGTTACGTCCCAGCCTGCCCGCTGTGTTATGCCCACCCCGGCCGGCAGGTCGAGCTGCACGAAGTCAGGCCCCGGTGCCGACGCACGTTCAGCCGGGATGGCTCCGGCCCAACCTTGCCCCCTCTCCCTCATGGTGCGGGCAGGGCCACGGGAGTGTGGAGCCCCGGGGCTCCATCACAGGTCTCAAGGTCCGGTCAAAAGTACATGCTCCTGGGGTATTTACAGCCCTGAGGCCTAGTCAAAAGTACACAGCCCTCTCCCAGGGTGTTTATGCCCTTGAGGCCTAATCAAAAGTACTCAGCCCTCTCCAAGGCCATGGACAGCACTCTGGTCTCATTCGTAGGTAAGGCCCTGGGAGCTGAATTGTGGTGGGGTGGGAAGGTAGGAGGACCCAGGCCATCCCGCTCCTCAGGTTCCAGCCCAGGGCCCTGTAGACAGTGGCAAATTCCACTGTCTGCTTGGCAGGGATTCCTACCGATACACTCCGAGCCTCTGGAGGACAATCCTCCGCCCTGGGCTACTTCCTACCGTAATGAGAGTTCAGTTCTGTCCTGTCTTATAGTTCCGCAAGCCAGTCCCAGTCCGAGGACCTCCTGGTTCGGCACTGTCGCTGGGGCTGTGGGTGCCGGGGCGGGTTGTGGCAGGGGCTGCTGAGGCTGCGGCAGCAGTTGCTGAGGTGGCGGCTGTGACTGCTGGGATGGCAGCTGAAGCAACTGCTCAGGAGCTCCTACCTGAGCTCCTTCACTTCTGGAGTCTCCCCCTGAGTAGCTGGCTCCCTGGGATTTTATCCCTGGCCTCTCCTTTGAGCAGACCCAGCAGGGCCATGGAGGTGGAGCCCGCTCAGCCAGTTGGGCTAGGGAAACTCCCTGTGGTTCAGTGCAGGGTAGCCCTGCCCTGTCACACACACACATACAAAATAGGAATTGGCTGTCTAGGAAGGAGCACGGCAGAAAGGAATCTAGAGGTCATAGTGGACCACAAGCTAAATATGAGTCACTGCTGAAAAAAAAAAAAAGCAAACATTCTGGGATGCATTAACAGGTGTATTGTAAGCAAGACACGGGAAGTGATTCTTCTTCTCTACTTTGCACTAGACCTCAACTGGAGTATTGTGCCCAGTTCTGGGCACCACATTTCAGGAATGATGTGGAGAAATTGGCGAAGGTCCAGAAAAGAGCAAGCAAATGATTAAAACATGACCTATGAGGGAAGACCAAATGAATTAGATTTGTTTAGTCTGGAAAAATAGTAGCTTTCGAGATAGTAGCTTTCGAGTACTTAAAAGGGTGTTACAATGAGGAGGGAGAAAAATTGTTCTCCTTGACAGCTGATGATAGGACAAGAAACAATGGGCTTAAATTGCAGCAAGGAGGTTTAGGTTGAACATTAGGAAAAACTTCTGAACTGTCAGTGTGATTAATTGCCTGAGATGGTTGTGGAATCTTCATCACTGAAGATATTTAAGAGCAGGTTGGATAGACACCTGTCAGGAATGATTCTAGATAGTGCTTGGTCCTGCCGTGAAGGTAGGGGACTGGACTTGATGGCCTCTTCAGATCCCTCCCAGTTCTAGTATTTGATTGTAGGATATGTATTACCTTAGCACTTACTAACAAATTTCAATCAAAATATTCACACCAGTTAAAACTCCACTTGTAGTAATTTTAAATAGTATTGGACTCATGAAAAATCAAATTAGTCTTGTTTCTTCTTTACTTACTGACAGATAAATATTTAGAAGTGATCCAGCTACTAGACCTGTGGTGTCCAACACGCTAGCCACTAACCACACGTGGCTATTTGGCTGGTTGGTTACGTCTACACCGGCCCCCTTTCCCGGAGGGGGCTTAGCAATCTGTGATTATGCAGTTAGGAGGGATAAAATCTTCCCCCTCCCCTTTTTCTTCTCTGCTACTTCCTGGCTACGTCTACACTGGCCCCTTTTCCGGAAGGGGCATGTAAATTTCACTAGTCGTCGTAGGGAAATCCGCGGGGGATTTAAATATCCCCCGCGGCATTTAAATAAAAATGTCCGCCGCTTTTTTCCGGCTTTTAAAAAAGCCGGAAAAGAGCGTCTAGACTGGCCCCGATCCTCCGGAAAAAGTGCCCTTTTCCGGAGGGTCTTATTCCTACTTCAAAGTGCCCTTTTCCGGAGGGTCTTATTCCTACTTATTCAAAGCCGGAAAAAAGCAGCGGACATTTTTATTTAAATGCCGCGGGGGATATTTAAA